CAAGAGAGTCTCAAATATAAGGTGTTGAGCAGGTGCTTATCTGCACTGATAGAAAATCATAGAATCATAGGTTCAGAGCTGGAAGGGACCTTAAATGACACCTAGTCCAACCCCTTCATTTTGTAAATGAGGGAACTGAAGCCTAGAGAGACACACAATTAGTAAGTTACAGAGGCAGGATTTGAACCCAGGTTTTCTGATGCCAAGTCCAGTTCTTCTCTACATTCTTTTAAAATCACAGATATGAGGAAAAAAAACCTTCGCTAATCCTAATATACTTAATCAGTATGCACTCTACTCTTAAATGGGTCATACAGTTAGACTTATCTGAGATATAAAATAATAATTACAATAATAAAAAATTATTTATTATTATTACATAATGCATTGTTTGTGTATATCTATGATTTAACTTGTCAAAGCACTCAGTCTACTATTTTATTTTCTTCTAACAGTAGCCATGTGAGACAACCAGTAGCACCCTTCATGGGTTTTTAATTGAAACCAGAGATAGTTCTGGAGATGAGGAATCACTAGGAACAGTTGAACAGTTATGAGAATTGAGCTTGGATTATGGTGAGATCTGGCTGTTCGAGACTATTATAGCTTGAGTTTATTCTCTCAACAAAAATCCCCTGTAGTCTATATCCAGGATTAAAGTATATTGACAGTGTCTCTTCAATTTATACTTCGTGATCCCTTATCAGATATTCCCTATATGATATGACCAGGAAAGAAGACTTGTGAATTCAAATTTAAAAAAAAAAGTATTTTGGGAAACAGAATAGCAAGATACTGACAAGAAATTAAGTTAAATAGCAAGTGTTCCTAGCCCCAGGATGGCTACTTTTCATGCCCCCAAGTGAGAATGTCAGTTATCTCCCCATTCCATCTGTCTTGCATTTTCAACATAGCAGGAGAAAGGATTTAACTAGGTTAATTTACAACACTGGTGCTGGAAATGATGTTGATTAAGCACTTCCCCTTCATTCTCAGCCCAAAATGGTATAGAGAATGCTATTTGCCATGGATACTGGCCCCTATGGCCCTAAGCTCCAGCTGCAGTCAGAGTCTAGACAACATTCAAGAGTACAGAAATACCACACCACATGGTCTTTCTCCACGTGGTTACAACTTCTATCTCTATACCACACTCTTCTTGCTCTGTGTTTTGTCAAACATGTAACTGACCTCAGCAAGATTTAAATGATGCTGCCATTTTTCTTAGTCTCTGTCCTCTCCTCTTTTTAGCCTTGCCATACTGGTTTTTCTAGTAAAAATTAACCATCTCTCTAGCTCCCAATTGCAACCTTAATTTTCAAATCTCCTGTGTTACAGAGCTTATTTTTATCCTTCTTGGAGATACAATCCAGAGACTTTCTCACAGTGAGGGAGGTTCTCTGGACTGCAAGGTATTATAGGAACATTGAGACCTCTATGGAGAAACCTTGCTTGGTGTATTTAATAACAGCTTATTGGTACACGATCCAAACATTTAGTAGAAATTTTGTAGCATCTTTTAAATTCTTTTCCTGTGCTGTAATTATTTTAGATTAGAGGCTCCTCCTTAAGCCACTCTGGTTAACTCCTCTTTCTCCATTTTGTTTCCTTTTAAAACATTTTTTACAGTACTCACAACTGTAACCTCAACCTGAACCGCCAATGAGTACTGTATCTGACAGTCTTTTCATTTATGCCTCCAACTAGAATAGATGGTATTTAGATTCTGCCTAGATAGAAACCAATTTGCCCAGATAGCATTCTCAGGTTTCATTAGAAATTCATTAGCAAAATTGTGAAAGTCACCTTATTCTAGTAAGTTCATTTTTATCACCATTGTATTCTTTAAAGACGTCAAAAGCATTCATAGACTCATGTAACACCACTCCTTTTGTTATGCATCTGGTTAGTGCTCATTCCAGTTATTCCTTAAAACTTTGAAGTAGATGCTATTTTACCATGGGAATAAGTCATACCTTTATCTTGGCATGTAAGGTCCTCCACCTTTAAACTCCATTTCCAGCCCTGTTTTGTTACACACTTTCATTTGCTTTATATTCCAACCAAATTAGTCTACTATCTGTTTCCAGAAGGCGGCATAACATCTTGTGTTTCTTTATACATCCACACAGGCCACCTCTTAGGCTTTGAACTATTTCCTCCTAACCTTTCTTCAGAATCCTTCCCTGCCTTAAAGGATCAGATGTCATACCTTCCTTAAAGCCTTCTCTGATTTCCCCAGCTGGAAGTGTCCTATCCCATCTTAAATTTTACCAAAGCCCAGAATTTATTGAGGCTGGAGATGAATGCTAAGAAACACAGGAAAGATTTGTTTGTTTTAAATTATCATGGACACAGAGGAAGATTGAAAAAGGGAAAGGATCATATGATCATAAACTTAGAGTTGGAAGGGATCTTAAAGGTCATCTAGTCCAAATCCAATTTGATAGGATTGCTACTCAAGGTGGATGGAATATGAATAAGGGATTTTCTTCTATTTTCTCTTCTAAAGAGAATGATCTTTGGATTTAGAAGGACAGAGCAAAAATGGTTAACAGGGAGTTGAAACTCAACATAAGTGAAGAGAAAGTAAGTACTTGATTGCACTCAATGAGAATCACAAGGATCAGATCTTAAGGTTCTGAAAAACTTGGCAGATGTGATTATCAGTGGCTATTGTTGATGTGTCAACTATTTGGGGAAAGGCAGTGAAATCATAGGACTGGAAAAAGGACAACATTCTGCTTTTCAAAAGAGGGAAGAGAGTAGTGTGTGAATTATTGGCAAACAACATTAATTCCACAAAAGATTCTAGAAAAAATGTTAAAAGGATATTTTTGTAATGATTTAGAAAGAAAGCAGTAATCACTGAGAAACAACAGGTTCAAGATTAGGTTATGACTATATATGTTTTTTGGACAAGGCAACTAGATTGGGAGATCAGAGGAATGTTATAGACACAGTATACTTATATAAATTTAGCAAAACATTTAACAAACCTTTTGTGCTTTTTTTAGAGACAAGATGAATAACTGTGGGTGAGATGATAACACATTTAGGTGGATTCAAATCTGATTGAATGACCATACTCAAAAAATAGTTATTAATGGGTCACTGGTGACTTAGAAGAGGGGTCTTCAGTGGAGTACCACAGGGATTTACCCTTGGCCCTATGCTGTTCAATATTTTTAGTAATGACTTAGATCAAGGTAAGTTTGGAGGGGCAGCTAGGTGGTGCAGTGGATAGAGCACTGGCCCTGGAGCCAGGAGGACCTGAGTTCAAATCTAGCCTCAGATGCATAACACTTACTAGCTGTGTGACCCTGGGCAAGTCACTTAACCCCATTGCCTAGCAAGAACAAACAAACAAAAAACCCCAACAAAATAAAAACAAGGTAAAATTGCAATAGATAACAAATTTGGAGATTACTTGTTTCTGGAAAAAAAAAAACTAATATATTGAATGACAGAATTAGGATCCAAAAAACTATCAAGCACCTAGAAGAATAGGACACATAATTGTCTTTTCTTCTTTCACACAAATGCTTTTTTTTTTAACTTTTGTCTCTCATCTCATGTGGTAACCCCAAATTTGGGAGCGAGTCTCTTTATTGAGGCCTGTGAAACCCCCAAATAGAATTTTCCTTAACAAACTGAGGTTTTTTCAGAATGTTTGTTAAGCTCTTCTCAGAATGACTACTGACAATTGTCAAAATATCTTTTAACTGTCCATTCTCAAGATGTTAGTTAAGGAGCTAGTTCTCAGAATGTCAGCTAACTATTTCTATGATAATCTTAAAGGTACAGGGTCAGTATCCAAAGTCTCTGTAATCCTAGGTCTTGGTAACCCAGTGATATCTATTTATGCGTATAGATACATCTATCTATCTATCTATCTATCTATCTATCTATCTATCTATCTATCTATCTATCTAATCTATCATCTACCTATCTATCTGTCTGTCTGTCATCTATCTGTCATCTATCTGTCTATCATCTATCTATCTATCTATCTATCTATCTATCTATCTATCTATCTATCTATCTATCTATATCTATCCGTCTGTCTATTTATCCATCCATTTTGTTGCTGTTGCTTCAGTTATGTCCAACTCTTTGTGATCCTATTTAGAGTTTTATGGGCAGAGATACTAGAGTGGTTTGTCATTTCCTTCTCCAGCTCATTTCATGGATGAGGAACTGAGGCAAACAGAATTAAGTGATTTGCATCGGGTCACATAGCTAGAAAGTGTCTGAGGCAGGATTTCAACTCAGGAAGATGAGTCTTCCTGACTTCAATCCCAGTACTCTATCTACTGTGCTACCTAGCTGCCCATATACATATACACATGTACACACACACACACACACACACACACACACACACACACACACACATACACATGCAGAGAAAGAGAGAAAGAGACAAAGACAGAGAGAATATATGCTTCTATATCCATGTATTATCTCCCTAACAGAATATAAATTTTTTGAGGGAAGGGACCATTTGTCTTTTTATCCATAGCAATAGTGGCTACCTACATAGTAGGTGCTTAGTAAATAATGGAAACTAAAGTTTTAATAAAGAAAAATGTAAATTATACACTTCAGATAATCAGTTTCAAAGATACTGGAGTAGAGAGTAGTGACTTGATAGCAGTTGCTATGAAAAAAAGGTCTAGGGATGTTGAAGTAGAGTATAAGGTCAAAACGAGTTAACAGTATGACTCAAACAGCCAAAAACCTCATAGTATTCTGGGTGACTTTAAAAGAGGCAGTATCCAGATCTTGTGGTTATTGTTTCACTGTATTCCGAGCTTATTAGATCACATTTAGAGAACTGTGTTCAATTTTGGGTGCCACATTTTAAGGAGGCCACTGACAAATGAGATAGTGGTGAGAATTGGGATGGAATAGAAGACTTTGCCATAGGAAGATCAGTTGAAACACCTGACAGTATTTAGCCTGGAGAAAACAAGATATGAAAACATGGTAGCTACCTTCAAGTACTGCGGGGATTGTCATTCAGAGAGTAGGCTTGTTCTGGTTGGTCCTAGAAAGAAACAGAAGAAACTGTTGTAGGAGTTTTACAGAGGCAAAGTTAGGCTTGCTATGAGGAAAAACTTCCTAATAATTTCAACTGTACAGAATCTGAATGGGCTGCCTCAAGAGGTAGCAGACTCCTTCTTGCTTTTTACTTGTTAGGAGGGATGCTGTGGAAGGTTAGGATTAGAGAAGATGACTTCTAAAGTTCTTTTCCAATCTGGAATTCTGTGATTCCTAGAGCATTTTGGTTTTCTTCATTGCCTCCAAATGCTTGCTTGTAGTTTGGCTACATTTCTGTTGGATTCCACTCATCCACACTCCAACCAACTCCTGAGGAGAATGTAAACTCCTAGAAAACAACAGGTACTTTGCAACTTTTAACTCTGTAGTAAGTACCACTTAGACGCTTATGTACAATAGGCAATTATTTGTAGTTCTATATACTCATTCATTTAATATTTGGAGAAAGTGTTAAAATTGGAATACTTCAATTTAAATCAAAGCCCAGCATTTCATTTACATATATGCATATACATGTACATATATCTCTATCTGTATAACTTTGTGAACAAAAAATGGCAGAGTTGAAATGCAAGTGAGGAAAAGCTAAGTAAGTAACATAATGTTTTAATCACCAGAGCTACATGAACTACATCCTAAGACTCCTAAATAAATGGCAGATGTGATGTTTATACATACATAGTATATCCTAAAAGTCAATGCAATTTTAAGCTTTTAATAACAGAAAATGGAACAGACTTTGAGACCCACTGTGTATGTGTGTATGCGTGCATATTTGTGTATTTCTTTTGAAATTATTTGAAATATTTGAAAATATTTTTTTGAAAAAGTATCCAGCTTTAAAAAAATATATGTCTTTTTCCCCAACCCTCAACAATCCCAAAAAAAGTATTATTATTATTAGGCCCAGTACTGGAAGGAATTACAAGAGAGTCTTAAGTAATAATCAGACAGTCTGATTCAGACTATAGGAAAAAAAAAGCACCATCTGGGGAGGTCCTTTCACAGAAATCCAACTCTGATGTCATCGGGGTGTGGCAAAACTCGAAATTTTAGGAGATGATGCCAACACAATGCAAGCTCTGACAAGTATCCCCAAATTGGGAAGAATTTAAGTGGATGGTCTGTTTGCTTGTTGTCAGAGGAACAGCCCAAATCAATATATAGAGAGAGGCTCATTACCAGGGGGTTGGCCAATCCAATTCAGTTTAATTCAACAAGAATTTGTTAAGTGACTGCTTTGCTAGCCACTGGAGTTACAGAGAAGAAAAGGAAAAGCAATTCTTTCTGTAAAGGAACAAAAATCTACTGGGAAGGGAGGGTACATCATTCTCAAAGAAAAGTAAATGTGACAGGATAAAGAAAAGTAAATACAAGAATATTTTAGGAGAGAAAAAATGATCACAAAGTGAGGGAATCAAGAAAAAACTTCTATTTATTTTATCAGAGAAACCAAGAAATATACAAAAACACAAAATAGCCCTCAGTTCTGTACAGTCTGCTTCTGCAGTGATGATTGGAATGTGTCTCAAAAGAAGGCAGAGTTTTAAGGCTTTCACCATTCTTAGTAGGTGGAGAGTACAATGGATAGAGCACTAGGCTTAGAGCAGGCCTGCACACCCTGTGGCCTGCCAAAGGATTTTGGGGTGGCCCCAAAAAAATGTAGAGGAAGACATCCTCTATGTTTTTCTGCAAGCCACCTCATGTCAGGAAGACATGAATTCAAATCCAGCCTCAGACACTAGCTCTGTGATCCTGGGCAAGTCACTTGACCTCTGTTTGCCTCAGTTTCCTCATCTGTAAGATGGAGATAATGATAGCACTTGCTTCTCAGGGTTGTTGTAAAGATTAATGAGATAATGATTATAAAGTGTTTAGCTCAAAGCCTGACACAAAGTAAGCACTAGTTTTCAAGAAAGTATTGATTTGCATTGGTAGAAGGAGTTTCCTCATCCTGAAGTTCCCTTTGCCAATGAAATAGGGTTCCATCCCTGTCTCCATACTGTTAATGTGCAATCTTTGTCAAATGGGTTGAGGTACCACTGAATGATCATATTGAACATATACATATTGATTTTTTTCCTATAAACAAAACCAAAAGACAGGAGCTAAATGGAAAGAAAGATGACACATAGACAGAGGACAGAAATGGACTTTATAGCTCATTTGGTACAATCTCCTCATTTTATAAAGATTTGCTCAATATTATTCAAGTAGTAAGGAGCTGAGCTGCACCCACATCTCTGACTCCAAGCATACTGTATATGGAGTCAAAGAAACTGGGTTCAAATCCTGACTTTGTCATTTGGCATAGTATGAGACCCCCAGCAAATCATTTAACCTTGTTTTTTTGTTTTGTTTTGTTTGTTTTTGTTTTTTTGTGAGGTAATTGGGGTTAAATGACTTGCCCAGGGTCACACAGCTAGTAAGTGCCAAGTGTCTAAAGCCAGATTTGAACTCGGTCCTCCTGACTCTAAGACCAGAGCTCTATTCACTACGCTATCTAGCTGCCCTGGGTCTTAGTTTTCTAATCTAATATGAAAGGGTTAGACTAGAGGTCCTCTAAGGTCCTTTCTCATTCTAATACTAAATCAGCTATTTTTTAAAAAAGCAATTGGGGTTAAGTGACTTGCCCAGCGTCCCACAGCTAGAAAGGGTCAAGTGTTCAGTCTGAGGCCAGACTTGAACTCAGGTCCTCCTGACTTCAGGGCCAGTGCTCTATCCACTGTGCCACCTGGCTGCCCTTTAAATCAGCTATTTTTACCACCACATTTCACTACCTCTCACCTCACAGATTTGTTTTTTATCTTTCAGAAAGCCAAATAAAGGGGTTGGCAGAATTACTCTCAATGGATGCTCAAGGACAACAAAAAAACTTTATTTGAAGGGACTGTGTCATTTCATCTTGTAGTTCTAAAATCACCATAAATGTATCTACAGCTTATGTTATAACATTTCTTTCAGAAGATGAAGAATAGGAGGAATTCTATGAAGGAATCTCTAAGATTCTCCAAACTAGGTCAACTTTCAAAAACATTTAATGATTTAGATACAAAGATGGGCACAGAGGACAATGACAGAAACTATGTTGGGAAATATAGTTTGGAAATTAGGAAAAGAAAGAGGCTAAAGACTTTCTGAATACTCAGAAGTTTTGCATCTGTGTATTATGAATATCTTCTTCAAGAGTGTCCTAACGTACTATATGTGGTGAGCACGTCATTACATCAAAAAAAGTGAAAAGGTCTGTCTGGACAGGAAACAAGTAACTAGAGATATAGCAGTCATTTCAGCTGTCTGGGCTACTTAGATAAAGGACTACTAGAGGAAAGACATAGTAAAATCCAAATGAGAAAGGAAGATGATACACCACGTGCAGTTATGTCTTCAATTGAATGGTTTAATTAAACAAGCAATTAGCTCTGAAACATGGGAAATGGACAAAAATAGACTGGCTGCATCACTCTTTTACAGAATTTTAACCAATGCAAAGTATATACTATACCTTCATTGGATACATGATTTCATTGATAGAGGGGATAAAGACGTGATCTGAACCTTCAGTAGTTCAGCTTATAACCCATCTATACTCATCGTAGGTGATTCTTGTACAGGTCCTTCCATAAGCCCTCCATAGAGAATCTATCCAATGTGCTGAAAGTCTTCCTCTACGTAACAGTCTTTAAAATAATGCAGAAGTACTAGTGAAGCACTAAGACCTTTGCTCTTGCTACATGGTTGACCTACTTCCTTTCCTTAGTATAGCTTCCTTGAATGATATATTTTATGCCATATTTTTACATTGAAGGCATCACTAGTAATATGATGCTGTCTATACATGCCTACCATTGCTTTTTGGGTTGCTCACTATGTTGAATCTTTGGAGATTATGATGTTCCATGATTTATTGCCATATAGCATTACATAAGGAAATGATAAAAAAATGTTTTTTGGGGTGGTATATGTCTAAATATGGTAGCAGCATGAAATAATTGTGAGTGCTGTACAGTTTCACACATATAGCCCAGCTTGTTCTCCTTTTTCTATTCAAATCTGGGCTTAAATCACTGTCTGTTTGTACTGTGTCTGTTTAAGATATATTTACTGGTTGAATAATGTAGTGCAGTACCTATCCAAATGCGTGATATAATTTGGACAATAAGCATTTCTTATCCATTTGATTTTTCCTTCATAGGAAGAAGTGTATAATAGCTTAGAAATTCTTTGAACCTGAAGACATTTGATGTCCTTTCTAGGTAGGGAGAAATGGCAGACAAGAGCAACACCAGATTAGAGTTAAAGCTCATTTGCAAAGCATTTTATGGAGGAGGATGACAGAAGTTTTTGAGTCGTTTCACTGAACAATACTGGGAAAAGTAGTTGCAGACAAAAAGAAATATAGAGAGCCAGCTAAGTTATAATATTCAGGGGGTATTTGTAGACAAAATTGGAAAGAAGGCAAAAAGAAGAAATGAAATGTTTCAAGAGTGATATATTCTCATCAACAATGATTAGATCTTGGCTCTTTTACTCCCTGCCTGTGGGATGTTGGACAATCCATTTAATTTCTCTTGGTCCTAGTTTCTTCCTCTGTAGTCTAGATGGTCAATGAGGTCCCACCCAGCTTTAGACCTATGGATTTTTTGTTTTTCCTTGTTTGTTTGTCTTTTACAGTATCCCCTACTTGATCACTCTCTTCCAAACCACTGACACTGATGAGTTAGATCCCAAGAGGGAGGCTGACAACTAACTCACTTAAAGTTCTAGGGGGAAATCTTGAGGGGCTGGGTTTTCTATTACATTTGCTCATGAGTCTCTATTAAGTGTGTTTCCATTGATTATCAGCCAGAGTTAATTAGCGTTTAGAAAGAAATGTATACTGTGTTATGGTAAAAACAATTGGTAAAAAAAAGTGTTGTTTTTTTTACCCTGAAAGCCTCAGGAATACTTTCCAGCACATATACATAGAGTCCAGGAAAAGAATGGGCTCAAATTTAGAATGTGATGGTAGTAAGCCACATGCGTAGAGAATATTTGCATCCAGAGGAAAAGCTCCAAAATCTATGTACAGGAAAGCTTTTTTGAGTCCATAGTCATCATTCTTTTCTTGTTTAAGGGGTGAGCACCTAGAAGCTGCTTCTTTCCTCAGGTGGCCATCTTTCTGTATCTGTGTTTGTGTTTGTCCTTTGTGTATCTCCAGCACTGGATGCATTGCTTCTCATTGATTGTCTTTCCAACAACATCATCAATTTAGGGGAATGGTTAACTGTCCTTTTGGACTACACTTATCAATTTCCTCTGATGGGGTGATGGGACATAGACCCCTAAAAGGAAAAGACCATGTCTTTGCCCTGAACTTTCCTACACTGGCATTTCATTTGAGGCGTCTGGCCCAACATGGCCCACCTAGATACTCAATAATCCTTTTAACTGCCCTCTCACTGGGGCTTTCTGACCACTTAACTCCTTTCATTATCTGTACCTGACCCACCCCAGGCCATTTATACTCCTTAATCCCATCTAGAGCCTTCTTCTAGGTTGCCCCTGGGCCACCCCAAAGCTATTTACCATTCTTTAATCCCATCCAGATCTTCTGTCTTTTCTTGTATATAAGTACCAATCTTACCCCCATTAAACTGCTTAGATTCACTTAGAATCTAACCAGCTCCTATTAGTGATACAATAGCAGAATTACTAGGAATTTTACCCACCATACTGGTGTTGTAATAAAACCTGCTACTTTCACTGAAAGAAGACTTGGTCAAATTCTTTTGAGGAATATTTGCCCTGTACCCTTACATTTTGGGGTTCCCAGCACCCCAAACTGCAACATATTTGGTGGCCCTATATGGGGAATTGCCTGACCTCCTCAAGCCCTTCTCCAGTAAAGACTAGAAGGTATTTAAGCTCCCTCTCTATCCCTTTCTCCTCTGCAGTTAGGGTCTTTCCAAGCACCTAGGAAGGCTTGGAGGTACTTTTTGGGCCTGATGCTCTAGGCTCCATTTAGTCCAGATGGTTATGATATGAGGCTAGTCTTGGACGTAGGCACGCTTTCCACTGTATAGAGGAGCCTATCTGGAGGCATATGCCCAATTCTCTTGATTCTCTGGGATGTTAGGGAACTGGGAAAACCACAGGTGGCTTTTTGGTTTCCTGAAGTTCATTCCCTCTACACCCTGGGATTCTCTTTATGGAGGGACTCTCAGTTCCTATGCCTGTGCCTGCCAGATTCCCCTTCTCTTCCAGCCTCATGGCCACCCAGATCCTCAGCCTGGAATCCAGACTCAGTGGGACTTCCCCAAGATTTGCCCCTAGCTTATCTTTCACAGAATTAGAAAAAGCTCGGTCTTCAAGACTTTGAAAAGCAAAGCTTTGTGCCTGGCCTTGATACAATCTAGAGAACCGATCTGGCAAATTCATAAATTCTTAAGATTCTTCTTCTTGCAGTCCCATCTCTGACCAGGCTAAGACTACAGTGAAAAGTTAGAAAAGTTAAAAACATTTTAGCAGATTCTGGAGATTTTGAGATTGATCATTAAGGAGTTTTGAAAAACCTTACAATCCAGGGGCAGCTAGGTGGCGCAGTATATAGAGCACTGGCCCTGAAGTCAGGAGGACCTGAGTTCAAATCCGACCTCAGACTAAACATTTGACACTTACAAGCTGTGTGACCGTGGGCAAGTCACTTAACCCTAATTGCCTAAAGAAAAAGAAAAAAAAAGAAACATATTTGGGCAGCTAGGTGGTGCAGTGGATAGAGCACCAGCCCTGAAGTCAGGAGTACCTGAGTTCAAATCTGGCCTCAGACCAAACACTTGACACTTACTAGCTGTGTGACCCTGGGCAAGTCATTTAACCCCAACTGCCTAAAAAACAAAACCAAAAACAAAACAAAACAAAAAAAGAAAAATCTTACAATCCCTGTACTCCCTTTCCTCCACTCCCTTCCCCTGAGTCAAGAGGGAATTCTCAGTTCTGGGACTGCAAATAGCCTGGTGTTTTCCGGTTAACCCCTCCCATGCCTGATCAGATTAAGAGAAGAGAGTGTTGGAGAATGGTAGGGAATTTGAGTCACTCTCCCCCACCTGGCAAAGGAAGGAGGGAAAAAGGACAGCAGCTACAACAGGGCCCCACTGGCAATAGCCCTGGCCCCTGGGCACCCTGTAGACTGCCTAGAAAGCCTGAAAATATCATCCAGGTTCAGCACATCCTACCTCCCCCCACTCCTGTCCAGCAGCTGTTGGTAAAAATGAGATGGGTCAAGGCAGTACGAGGTAAGAAGCCAGCCAGCCTCTGTACTTGATAAGCCCACTCTTAAAAGTTGTAGTTTTAACACATTAATGATGAAATGCTGATTTTCTGTGTAAAGTAATTTGGAAACGTATTTAACAAGATTGAAGTCACCTGATTGCTAATAGGTTTGTTTCAAGTTTTAGATTGGTAAACTTGTATCAGTTATGTCAAACAAGTTTTCATAACTTGGATGTTATTAGAGTATGAAACAAGAGAAACTAAAGACAGTGGAAAAAATTGTTTCCCTGTTAACCCTGTCTTACAATGTTTCATAACTGCTATTTAGAAAATTGGCTATTTTTATCTTGGCCTATAGTTAAAAGGAAATTGCAGCTAAAACAATTTGGCTATCACTTATAAAAATTGTAAGATTGTTGGTTATTGTTTTAATGCTGAAACCTAAAACTAATAACTGATTATTGTGTGTCTGTAGGGCAGGGGTGGGAGAGTGAGAGGTGGGGGGGGATGAAGGTGAAAGCCTTATCCAGATTGGTTCTGTTCATTCAGAGCAGTCCTCAGGGTTAGTCAAAAGGCATAGCCCACAACAACTCTAAGGGTAGATGGGGTGGATAGGAAGCCCTTTCTCTGGGTTCCCTGTCTACCCCTCTTATTTTGTAAAACTTGCCAAAGAGCTTGTTGGAGTTATGGAGTTCCTAAACAATGAACTTGGCTTTCTGAGAATTTGCAAGTATATAGAAATGTTCTCTAATGATTGGCTTTTACACAAGGACAAGTTTAAATTTGAGATAAAAGTCCTGGTAAAATTTTCATCAAGCTTCTTGAAGTGAAAGTCCTCGGGACTATAACTGATTTTGAGTTGTGTGATGGATCATAATAATCCATCCATAATCAATAGTCAATAATCTACCATCTGAAAGAAATGCTACACTGAAAGGAGAATGTGATACAGGTGGAGGTCTGCAGCTGAAAAAGCTGAGAGGAAATTTTAGCCTCTGTCTAAAATGAGATCCTCCTGGCTCAGTTTTCCCATTGTGTTCTTTTGAGAAGAAATGTTACCCATCTACCTATTACTGAGTCTGGCTATGAAGTGGAATTGACAAATAATGTTCCTGCTTTGTCCTTTTATAGCAAATTTCTATAATCAGAGCAAATGATCAGTAAAAGATATAAGAGCACAATACAAGTATGTGAGATCTTGCTGTTTTGACCTGAAAGTGTAGTCATTTCATATCCCAAACAATTGGGTAAATTAGTACTTGGGCTTTTCATCTGCCTGCCTGCCTGCAGATGTGACTGAAATTTAATCAGAAACATCTTCAGTTTGCTTTGGGGAAGAGAGTTTCAGTGCAATCAAATTTCTTAGAGGGAGGTAACCTATAGAAAAATGGATATTTGGCCTAGTCATTACTTAAGTATCCTCCCAAGTCTTTTATTATAATTGGAGTAAAAGTCAAGTGTCTGGCAAATTTATTTGTATAACTATTGAACCCAGGGGTGGAAAACTTGTACCTGCAAAAGTGTTGTTACTTCCAGATAGCATCTGATTCTCCAAAAGGAATTGGAATCAGAGTGGAAACTTGTGGGAAAGTAACAAGATCAGGTAATCCTATGTGTCAAATGTGAATTATTCTGATAGCGCTCTTGTTTTCTTTTTTTTTCTTTCCCACATTCTGACGTCACTTTTAATTCTCCTTATATTTGGGCCCTACATATTGAATTTGCTTGTCAGATTTGTGTCTTCTAGACTACAGGCCATTCACCTATAGTTGGCAGCAAACAGTGGGTATCAGCACATGTCCACCCATCATTCCCTGAATGCATCTGATGCTCCTATGTTCTGGTTCCAGCCAACCTCCTCCCTGGCACCCCCTTGAGGCAGTGACAGCTCTATAGCCCTTGCCAGCAAGGAAGTAGTTTCAGAAGCCAGGACCTTCTGCCCCTTACTCTAAAAGATTTTGGGTTCCATTTATTTGAAGGGGGAATAATGGGATGATGGGACCTGGACCCCTAAAAGGAAAAGACCATGTCTTTGCCCTGAACACTGACGTTTCACCTGATGCATCTGGCCCATCACAGCCCACCTAGACACTCAATAATCCTTTTACTGCCCTTTCACTGGGGCTCTCTGACCACTTAACATTGTCTGCACCTGGCTCACCCCAGGTCATTTTCTACTCTTTAATCCTATCTAAATCCTTTCTCTGTCTTTTCTTGTATATAAGTTCCAATCTTACCCTCAATTAAATTGCTCAGTTTCACTTAGAATCTAGCCAGCTTCTATTGGTGATAAGATAGCAGATTTACAAATATACCTCACTACTCTGACTGAAAGAAGGCTTCAGTGGTCTAAAGACTCACCTGTATCCTTACATTTTGGTTCTGAAGGCGATTGACATTTCCAATAAAGACTAGGTAGACAATGGCTCCCACGAAAGCTCCTAATGTTGGGGCAACCACAGGGACCCACCACCAGTTGTCGCGTGCTCTGAAGACTTCATTGCCCCAGCCTGCAATGCTCGTGAAGATCCTTGGGGGCAGGTCCCTGGCCGGGTTGATGGCGTAACCTGTGTTCATGCCCAGTGACAGTCCTATTGTGATTATGGCGACACCTATGACCAAAGCGTGGGTCCCTTTCAGAGCTGGGCTGTTCTTTTTGTCAGTGATGACCAACAGGCATAGCTGGAGTATTGCAGTTAAGACTAACTCATCTATGAATCCCCTCCACAGTGACATGTGAGGGGCAGGGTAAGTAGCAAAGATACCTGCAGTTGCCCGGGGTCCAGTTACTGTGAGATTCCCATTTGTGTACTGCATGAGTGCCCCATAGTAGAGGCCATATATGGTAGCTGCTGCTAAGAAGGATCCAAAGCACTGTCCCATTGTGTAGACAGGAAGCTTCTTCCAGGGTGTCTGACCCAGGACACAGCTTGTAAAGGTAATAGCACTGTTCATGTGGGCACCAGAGATGCTCCCAGCCACGTGGATTCCCATAGTAACACCAAAGCCAAATCCCAAGTTGATGGTGAGGTATGTCCCATAATTATTTCCCCCCAAAACCTTCTGGGCCACGGACCCTAAACCAAACACCATCATGACATATGTACTCATGAATTCAGCCAAAAATTCTCGCATTATGTCTCTCTGCCAAGCTTCTTGTATGCGCTGTATCACATCACTAGATGTTTGTAGTCTTCTTGTGAGATAGTTTCTGGGCCAAGTGTATGTTTTTCTAGCAGTGGATGCCATGGTATAACTACTTCCACTCCCGTAGCCCTAGGTCCGCTGCCAGCTCAGTTCCAGTCTCTCACTTCTGTGTTCTCAGCTTGCACAGAGAGGAACTCTGAAGTTGTAGCTGGTACACCCAGAATTGGATCTTCCATAGAGAGGGCTCTCCCTGGTATGCCTTGGCCTATGGCGCTTAGGCTGAGGAAGCCAGAGTAGGTTTGGTCCTTCGTGTCTCCTGTCCCCTTTCTATATTTGCCCAAGGTCCAGTGCCTCTTAGACACAAAGAGAAGGGAAGCCCGGTCCTAGCTTCCTCTCTGAGGGAGAGGTCAGCAGAATAGAGGTATTAATAACTGCTCATGAGACACATTAAAAAACCAGGCAGCCAAAATAACATGGCTCCAGGACCTAGCTCTAGCTGTTCCACTTTATTCCCAAAGAGGGAATCCAGGTAATGTGAAAAAAAAATACCAAGGGAAACAGTTTCCCTTACCTCCCTTTGTGAGGTCAGTATCATAGCCCTGTGCTTAGGCTGAGGTCATAAAATCACAGCATTTGAGCCACCAGGGACCTTAGAGGTAACTCCATCGCACACAGAAACAAAAATACCCTTTACAGATGTCTCTTCAGCCTGTTTGAAGAAGACCTTCAGACAGAAGAAACCTATCATTCCCTGAGACAGCCCATTTCACTTCTGGATAGCTCTAAGTACTAGCTCTGATTATTTGGGGGCAGCTAGGTGGTGTAGTGGATAATTTCCAGCCTAGGATCAGAAGACTCATCTCCCTGAATTCAAATCTGGCCTCAGACACTTAGTAGCTGTGTGACCCTGGGCAAATTACTTAACCCTATTCACCTTGGTTTCTTTGTAAAATGAGCTGGAGAAGGAAATGGCAAACTTTGCTGGCAATATCTTTGCTGAGAAAACCCAAAATGAGATCACAAAGAGTTGGATGTGACCAAGGTTATACAGATAGTGCACAACAGAGACAGGAACACTGGAACCCAGATCTTCTGGTTCTGCTGTGGTGTGCTACTTAGTCTACATTTCAAACCCCCTTGACATTATTTCTTCTTCACCCCTCCTTTGCTCCAGTCTCTGGTGAAATGAACATGGCTTTGTCCTGAACTTTACCACACTGGCATTTCATCTGAGACTTTTGGCCCTTCACAGCCTACCTAGACACTCAATAATCCTTTTAACTGTCCTTTCACTGGGGCTCTCTGACCACTTAATTTAACACTGTCCGCACCTGGCCCAGCTGGGCCATTTCCCATTCCTTAATCCCATCTAGACCCCCTTCTGTGTTGCACCTGGACGTCCCAGGCTATTTATCACTCTTTAATCCCATCCAGATCTTCTCACAGGCTTTTCTTGTATATAAGTACCAGTCTTACCCCCATTAAGTTGCTCAGATTCATTTAGAATCTAGTTGGCTTCATAACAAATAAACCTCATTACTCTGTCTGAAAGAAGACTTGAGTGGTTGAATTCTTTTGAGGCAGACCTCCCTGTACCCTATATTTTAGGGTTCCGAGCACTCCAAATGGCAACACCCTCACCTCCCTTTTCTTTGGTACAGGCACAAGGGTATACTTTCCCTAGGAGATCCTGAGCCTGGAAGCTCCTGAAGATTGACTACTTCATTGTTGAAATAAGTGTTTCCAAACTGGATTTTTAAATTATACACAGGGCTATAGGTATGGCTGATTCTTTCAGGCAATCAAAAAATATTTCCTGTTAGGCATTTTTATTTTCATTCAAACTTAACTCTTCCAAAACTGATTCTTTGACTCAACTGAGAAGTCTGGGCCTTCTGTATTTAATTGTGGGGTGGAAGTGGACATCCACTCTTAACATTCTCTTCTTAGTTAAATATTTGCTCACCTGTGCTCTTTTTGCCAAAGTCCAAAGCCCTAAAACCTTAGATAAATTTCTATTGCCTTGGGGAGGTCCAGCATTAATTATCCTTTATGAATTTCTTCCCTAGTGCCTTGTGTTAAGGGGCTTCAGGAAAAGTCTCTGGGGTACAGTTAATGAACCATTAAGAACTTTTTCTTTACTTTAAAATAAATGGTGATATAATGTAATAAAAATATGTTTAAAAATATCCTTATAGGTTATTGTCTTTTTTGTACTTTTTGTACTGTACTTTTGTACTTCCAAAAATCCTTTCCCAATCTATAAATAATAAAGAAAAGAAAAAGTAAAATGAAATCATGTTTTCCTTACAGCAGTAAAAATCTAGTTGTCTTTGAGCTTCCAGAACATGTGGGGCTCTTCCCACAGAAATATATTCAATTGGAATTCTCTCTTCCAGCCTTCAGGCAAATAGATTTGGCTTGATTATTTGTGAAGTAATACTAATTTCTTGGCACTGGGGAATTTGTGTGAGTGTGTAGACTCTCCCTCTCCTTTGTGGAGTCCCTCTGTTCTAGGCTCGTTTGAGTATTAAGTGCTATAACAAACCAACACTGGGTCTAGGGGAGACTAGGAACACTTTCTGTCCTCTTCCCACAAAGAGGTTCCTCTACTCTGGACCCAGACATACAAGCTAGGTTTAATAACAGAAAATTTCTCTGGGTCCATGAAGTATAGGGCACCCATTTTTACTCCAGGGTTCAGTAAATAACATCTGAAAACCAACTGGAGGTCCAAAATCATCCCTCAGTGGGACAAATGGACTAACTTTAAAGAGAAAATATCCTGAAAGTGCGTACACACACACACACACACACACACACACACACACACACACACTCACACACCTGTTGAGGTCTAGGGGTTCTGGGAACCCTGAAATTAAAGGGCAAACAATGTGGCTCCTGCCTCGAATGAATCCGTCCCAAGCTTTCTTTCAGTCAGAGACAACGTTTATTAAAACACCAATTGGGTGGGTGAGATTTTAAGAGTCTGAGCCTTTGTGATGCCAATACAACTGGGCCAGACTCTTAATTTTTTTAAAATTAATTTATTTTTAGTTTTCAACCATCACTTTCATATGCTTTTGAGTTTTAAGTTTTTCTTCCCCTCTTTCCCTCCCCTCCCCAAGATTGTGGGCAATCTGATGTAGGCTCTACATATACATTCCTATTAAACATATTTTCACATTAGTCATGTTATAAGGAAGAATTAGGACCAATAGGAGGAACCATAAGAAAGAGGAAACGAAATGAAACAGAAGAAAAAAAGAGCAAATAGTATGCTCCAATCTGTATTCAAACTCCATAATTTTTTCTCTGGATGTGGATAGCAGGCCACACTCTTAAGGAGTCTGACTGATCTAATGGGGGCAAGATGGACACTTACAGTGGTCAAGGGGTGGGGTGACTGGGAGGTAACAGAGAAGGACTTGGAAGGGCCAGGTGCCCCAGGCTAATGCCAGGGACCTGGGCCATGTGGAAGGGGTCTAGATGGAATCAAGAAGTGGTAGTTTAGTGTGGGGCCAGGTGCAAACAGTGAGGGCTGGGCTGGGTTAGAGGTGACAGAGAATTGGAGATTGGAGCAGGGTCAAAGCCACAATGCAAAGACAGTTGAAAGGATTATACCGAAATGGAGAGTTCAGAGGAAGTTGGAGGAGTGGGGAGGATTTCCAGGGCCTATACCCAGTCATCACTATCACCACCAATAGCACCAACTTTGAAGAACTCCCAGACTACTCCTTCCTTCAGTGTTTTAGTGTTAATCCTAAAGGCCTGAGGGCTATACAATTACTGTCACTAATGAGACCCCACCCACTACATTCCTTAATGATTAACAGTCAAAAGCCTAAATTCATTTTTTAGTAAAAAGAGTCTGTTGAGGTGGTATATATAGTATGAACAATTGTCACAAAGAATGATACGTTGAGTTTAGGGAATGGTTTCCCACAGTATCTGTGAAGATAGAGATTACAGATTTTAAGGATAGTAACACTGAAGCATAGCTATAGAGAAGACAGAAGACAAAAGTCATTTTATTGCTGAGAATAACTAAGTCATTAACAATTCTTCATCGTACAACATTGCTCCTGTTTTCCTGGTTCTGTTCACTTCACTTTGCATCAATTCATGTAAGTCTTTCCAGGTTTTTCTGAAATCATCATTTCTTATAGCACAATAAAATTCCATCACAATCATATACTACAGCTTGTTTAGCCATTCCCCAGTTAATGGGCATCCTCTTGATTTCCAAATCTTAGCCACCACAAAAAGAATTGCTGTAAATATTTTTTTGTACAAATAGGCCCTTTTACTTTTATTTTTTTTTATGTCTTTGGGATATAAACCCAGGAGTGGACTTGCTGGATTAAAAGGTATACACAGTTTTATAGCCCTTTGGGCATAGTTCCAAATTGCTCTCCAGAATGGTTGGATCAGTTCACAACTCCACCAATTTATGTCCCAGTTTTCCCACATCATCTCCAAAATGTATCGTTTTTCTTTTTTGTCATATTAACTAATCCGATAGGTGTGAGGTGGTGCTGTTGCGGTGCTGTTGTGGACTGAGAGGTTGAGAGGTTGTGACCCTTCAAAGTCTGAATTACAGGATGGATCATCTGGAATGAATTCACCCACTCAAGCATTCTTTAAGTCAAGGAGGCAAAGTTTATTGTTATGCTTTTCAGTGGGCAAGGATTCTTAAGGATCCTGCAACAGAGAGGTACAGTTAAAGTTTACATAGGATAAAGTACAATAAAACATGTGCCAAATATGCTAACTAGGTGATTCAGGGTGGGATTAGGGCGTGGTTAAGGAGTGGCCAGTTCTTAAAGGAACATGCACTTCTTGTACCTACTGCACAGGTGTTTTACCCAGAGTTCACTAGGAAAAGCCCACAAGCGAGGCCACGTGGAGGTGTGGTTTTAGGCCTGCTATGTCACTAAGTCAACCAGAGTTCAGGGTAACTGAGAGTTGTCCAGTCTGCCTCCAATCAATGTCTTGTTTGACAAGATAGATGTAGGGAGTATACATATGTCTTAAGTCTAGAATACAGTTAATGAGGAGCCCAGGATGTAGATAATGAGGTAGGGTGGTAGGAGATAGTCCAGCGGGTAAAAATGTCTTTATGACCCAGTGCAAAGCCAGTTCAAACTAATAAATCCTTCAGGTACTGTTTGGAACTGCACCAGAGAGAGAGATAAGCTGGGGCCCACTCATGAGTAATTGCTAGGCACAGGGTCCTTGGGCTGGGGAGAAACTGTCAGGGACAGTGTTTCTGAGGCTAGGGAGAAATTGGGGTCCAAGTACAAGCACCCAAACATAAGCACCCAAGCACCCCAACAGTACCTCAGAGTTGTTTTAATTTGCATTTCTCTAATAGTGATTTAGAGCATTTTTTCTTATGACTATAGATAGCTTTGATTTCTTTGTCTGAAAATTGCCTGTTCATATCCTTTGACCATTTATCAATTAGGGAATGACTTGTATTTTTATAAATCTGACTCGTTCTCTATATATTTGGGAAATGAGGTCTTT